AACTTTTCGTAATTTTTCGGTCATAAAGCCGAAAAAACAGTGAGCATGTTTAACTCGCTAACACAAGACGAGGTGTTTAACTGCATTTCTGGACTTTTCTGGCTTTATGTAGCTAAAATTAGGGACCTTAAGCACTTACGACGACGACGGCAGTGAAAACATCACTAAAAAAATTAATTTTGTGTCCTTTCAAACTTTAATGCGTCTCTTTGGAATCGTCAAATGTAGGCGACTTTTCCTGGAGTTGAATTCTTAAAGGCTTTATCCTTGTTCAAAGGGAGAAAGGAAAATTTGTCGTTTTATGTCCACGTCCCCTATAAAACGTCGCATTGGGAGGTTTCACGTCGTGGTCGTGCAGTGGGTGTCAAAGAAATGTACTAAAAAGCGTGATGCACGTGCAGAGCTGTTGTTTTGGTCATAACACCAGTTGTTTTTTGACGTTGTGGTCTATCTCAGTGACCGGAGAGTCTTAAAGCCATTTTTTACTTAATGGATGATGTAATATTGTCATGTTATAATTATGGAAACTTGGCCGACGAACACAATATGTATTAAATAAAAAAAATTATTGTTACAGAACAATAAACAGACCATTAAGGATGAAGAGTTTTGAGCTGTTCAGTAAGCTCGCTGGTCAAGTTTCAAATTAGAAAAGGTGGCTTGGTTTGCTGTGTTTAAGCCTGAGAAAGCACTTCTCGTGATCTAAACTATAAGTGGTCTGAAATTTGTTATTCCATTTAACAAAATTATAAGTCACACTTAGCTTCACTTAGGTTTGTTTTGCAAGTTAGTTTTTGTTGTTTTCCCTGTCAGCATGTACGGCAATAGTGTAAGTGAATTGCCTAACCACCCCCCCCCCCCACATGGACAGCCAGGTGTCTTGCCTTTCACCTGAGACCTGCCCAGCACGTAGCCTCCAGGATCACTAACGCAACCAAACCTTCCCACCACTTCAAAAGCATAACGCTTAGGGAGGAGGAAACAAACTATAGAATAATGCCATTAAATTATTTAGCGTAATGACTCGATTTAGCGCCCGGAGTGCTTATATACTTATGGTTTCTCAAATGAGGGCGCTTATTCGAAACAGGGCGTCTACCTCTTTTAGGTTGCGAAGCAAAACTCTCGAACCATAAAACAGGGGCAGGGCACCTTATGAGCAAGAATTAGCAAACGTCTACGATCATGGCTGCTTCTGGCAATCCCTTGATTTGGAGTAGTTCGAAGCTTGTTTATGAAGGCGAATTCTCGTCTGCTATACGAGGCCATCATGTTTACAAAGTCACATGGTCTGCAACTTAAGACTCAAATTCCAAGCTATCAGTGACATTCAACGCTTTACCCTTCCGATCATTCCGACAAATAATAGCAACACCACCACCGATTCGCGAGCCAGCTCGATCTTTCCTCACCATAGCATAGCCCTCTGGGCAATTGGAATGTGACAGGATTATCATACTCAACCATGACTCCGAAACAAAACAGTCCTCGAATAAAAGTCGTCCCTCGATTAATCGCTTCCCTCGAATAATCGCCCCCTTAGACCGAAATGTTTAAAATAATCGCCTCCCTCCAATAATCGCCCACCGCCACCCCTCTCGCCATCTTCTCTTGCTTTTATCCTCTCCCTGTAAAGTTGCAGTGGAGCCTAATCCAGCGAAACCGATTAGTGACAATTCAAGCTCGGGTGCCGAGAGGATTTTGGCATTGAAAATTTATCAAATAACCAAATTTGGAACACTTAAAAAGCCTTTGTTCTGTTTATTTGATGTTATCAATTTTCGGTTCAATGGAATAATAAAACAAAATATTTAGGAACTAAACTCCAGTGAGCAATATTTGAAATAATCGCCCGCTCAAATAATCGACTCCCTTTTTGTGGGAAAAAATAGTCTTCGCTCCCGGCTATTATTCGAGGAATTACGGTATCAATGTTATTGTTACTAAGCTCAGGATAAAGCGCCGGAACTGCATCAGGTTTTGCCAGGCACCGGGCATTCAAAACCATACGCTTTGGCACTATGTTTAAGTGCTGTAGGCACTTTGTTGATTTTGACAATCGAGAGCGTTCGCGGCCGTTCACTCTGGTTGCGTGAATTAGGGTCAACCTTGTCACGATAGGGTGGAACAATAGTCTGTGATTGAATAGCGGCGCTTATTGGTATTGGGGCGCTTGGAATGCCCGGGTGGGGGGTACTTCCTAGTAGTAGGCTAATGGGTATGTGATGCTGGATTGGGCCACATTTTCACGACTGGATTGACTATTATGGGGTTACATTTTTATAAGAGTTACAGGAACGGGGTCGCACATTTTCAGGTTTTTGGGGGTCAGAAAACTTAGGTATGTAGGGATTTAAAAATAGAAAGATTTACGCCACACCAAGTTTAACAAAAATATGGCAGATCATTTTAGGATCGATGTTCTAGTTAAATGCTTTAGAAGGTAGATGCATAAGCAGAAAGTCACTAAGTTGGGATTCCGAAAATTACTTTTTTCCAAAAGTGAGTAAGATGGGGTCTCTAATATCGCCACAGTATGGACTATAATGGGGTCAGGGTTTTGAGAGGCCAGCGGCACATACCCAACAAAAATTAACCCAAGTAACCCTCCCCCCTGGTTGGAACAAGGGTGCTTATGTAATAGGGGTGCTTATTAGAGAGTGGGCGCCTAGTGGAACGAAGTTAGTTCCTTGATGTTCAGAATAACTGTTTCTGTTAGAGGGACAGGCATTTCACATGAATGCAAACAACACTTATAATTCTGGTGACGCAAAACACAACACTGATTTTACGCACGATTCATGGTGTTTTGAACATGCATGGAGACGTGAAGTAAGCGCAGTAAAAAAAAAACAAGTTTAAAATAGCAGATGGATTGTTCCACAGTATCAAAAAATAACCAACATTTAATTTTATCTGTCACAATTGAAATTCAGTAAAATTATGTTTACCATAGATTTGTTTTAATAACTTAAGAGACCGTACTGAAAGATTACAAGAAGGACAATAAACACTGATGTAGCCCCTCATGACCCTCCTCAAGTAAAATAGAAGCCAATGAACTACGCAACCTCGAAGACATTACTTACCTTTAATAAGCATTCTCTTTCTTTTTCACTAGCTCCTTTAGAAATAGAAGCACGTGGAGAAAAAGCACAGCTCGCTTATCAAAGTGCTCTTAAATATGGAGCTGTTAATGTTTACCGTGGTCGAGTATTTCTTATTGGGCAGGATCGGGCAGGAAAAACAAGTTTGAAGAAGTCTCTCATTGGTCTACCATTTAATCCAAAAGAAAAAAGCACGGATGGAATTGAAGTGGATCCTTCAAAATTTCAGTTGGACGTTGGCGAAGTCAGCAATTGGCAACCTATTGATGAGAGAAAAGAAGGATTGCTGGGATGTTCGAGAGATGTGGCACAGATGGTGGTGGAAAAGATGTATGATATTTCAGCTAGCCGTGCCTGGGTTCAGGAAAAGGAAAGAGGTGAAGCAATACTTCAAAGTGATGATAACAAAAATTGGAAACGGGTTGATACTGATGGAGAAAAGGAGGAAGTTTCTCTTGTGAACCAGGTTTGTCTTTGTTGGTTTTGGAATGTGATGTTTTTTCGTGAATCCATCGTTACTGCAAAAACGTGCTAACAGTAGGTATTATAAATTGATTATCGCCTTCTTCATAAGTTAGGTTATAGTGACTTCCCTGCCCTTTGCCACAGTCTCCGTATGGAAAATATGTAACAACCGCCAGATCGTTTTCTAATTAACTCGTTTTCCAATGCTGGTTAAAAATTTTACCCAGCGTTTTTATACTTGTAAGTTTAGTTCCGAGAGTAGAATGGTACTACTATCAACCATTTAGTTATATTTCCATGATTGTACCCATCTACACGTAAGCTTAGCCTTTGGGTTAGTAGTGCGTTTGCAAACCAAAGTGAGTTTAGCCATATCTTTATTTATACTTTTAAGTGTTAATTAGGCCTTGAGCATAGCTTTCCCTTATTTTGTTGTTGGTTTTAATCACAATTTCGCGAATTTCTTTTTTCAGGCTTCTTTACGCAACTGCACAAATTGCGTTCACTGCGACGATCATTTCTTCATTTTCATTTTAATTTCGCTATTGTTTCCTTTTTTATGCGAGGAGTAAAGCCAAGGGGCCGGGAGGACTCAATCAAACACCATTTTCCTATATATTCTTAAACTCACTGTTTCTTAAAAAATGCAAGAGCGTAGTAATGTTTTGGATACCTCATGCCTCCAATAATCGTGCCTCGATGTTTGATCTTATCGAGAATTTTCTGTCATCAAAAACAACTTTAAATGGCTGAATAATCAAATCGGAGGGTGAAGAGGAATAATTACGTGTTCATTATGCCATTATACCAGCTCGAAAATTTTCCTTATTCCATTATTCCAGAAAAAAAGAACAAATTATTCCGTTGAAAACATCTGCTTATTCCATTATTCCGCGCCACAAAATGACATTATTCCATAACAAAAAAATGCCGTTATTCGTACGCCATTATTCCTCTTCTCCCCCAAAAATCGAACCAACCATGTTAAGTCTTTCAGAATCAGAATCAACAGTTATTTTTTTCATACTCTGCTACAGGTTGGTGATCCAAACGACGACAGTGTTAGTGAGCCCACATTAACAGGACCTGATCATGATTTACTGGTTGATACTACTTCACCTCCGGAGCAGATCAAGGAACGAGCTGAAAATTTGATAAAGTATATGAAAGGTGAAGATGTCACGCCTGAAGAATCTGCTGTCAGTATTGAATTGTGGGATTTTGCTGGACAACACCTGTATTATGCATCCTATCCTGTATTTTTATCACCACGTGCGCTGTACATCTTGGTGTGCAACCTCAGCAAGTCACTGCATGACACAGCCAAGCCCTGTGTGAGACAAGGGTCTCGTAATGTTCCTTTGGAAAACCCAAATGGAGAAACAAATCTTGAGAACTTGTTGTCTTGGCTGTCCACAGTGCATAGCGTTGCACAGATGAGAAGAGAAACCTGTGATGACGTAGAAAAAGAGGTGCCTCATTTGCGGCCCCCAGTGATCATTGTAGGAACCCATGCAGACAAACCATTTGAAGACATTGAAACAATGAAAACAGAAATCCAGAACGCAATTGCTGGTAAGGACTATGAGGGACATGTGGTGCGGCCTATCTTCAGCATTGACAACACTGCAAAATTACTTCAGAGTAAGATCAAGACAATGGTTTTCGGGAAAGACGAAAACATTGATAAGATCCAAGCTTTACAAGTCAAAATCATGGAAGTGCTAAGACAGGAGCCTTACATTGGGGAGAGGATACCTATAAGGTAAAAAATGGTTATACAAGAACAAAATCCATTAAAGTAAATATTAAATAAATTATGGTGAAGGTTTGAGCTCTGAGCGCACTGAAAGTGCTGTTTATGTGTATGGCATTTGTTTTCGCCAGTCCTTGTAAAATTTTTCTTTGATGTGCAATGTTGCGACGCTATATAAAAGCGTGACCGGAAAACATCTAAAGGCTGGTTCATTGTATAGTCCTTTACTTTGGTTACAGAAGAACAGAAAAAATTCAGTGATTCCTGTATGAGCCACCTGGCGGTAATAAGAAATGAATATCTCGTTGTTTGAAACAAGTTAACCATGAAAAGCAGTTTTGACAGGCCTTAAGGAATATTCTACCCGAAAGGGTTTGATAACGTTATTACGAATTGACCAAAAAGCACCATGTACATTTCAATTGTCGTTTTAAAAAGGTAAAGTAAAGTGGATCACACACAGATATTTATCAAGTGGATACAGTTATCCACCTGTCGAACAACTGGGCCCTGTACTTTAGTCATTATAGGTAAACTGTGTATATGTGACATGGATACTTAAACACGCGCTATCAATTTTCTCTTTGGTTTTGTAAACTAGGTGGCTGAACTTTGAGAAAGTCATCAACGCTTTACTCTCCAAGCCAGTTTATTACCTGAGTGTAACAAAGCTACGGACCCATGCCAGGGAGAAGTGCTTCATTGATGAAGAGGAAGAGTTTACCACCATGGTGAATTTCTATCATGACCTGGGGATAATTATCAAGCACCGTAGCACAGTCATCTTGAGTACCCAGTGGCTGATAAACTTGTTCGGACAGCTGATCACTATTCCAGATTTTACGAAAATGGTAAGAAATGGATTTTAAACGTGTTTTAAAAGTTGCGTGGTTTATAATGGTCCACATTTTGGATGACATCACAGGCTTCCAACCGTGCTGTAGCTAATAAAAATAATTATATCAAGTGCATTGCCCGCTATCTTTTTGAAAATGTTAACTTTTCCTCAAATATTTGTAAACAGCAAAATCGTAGTGGATTTGGCTGCTATTTAATATTTCCCCAGTTTAAAACAGTTAGGGTAGGCGACGTAATTCTGAAATGAAATCTTACCCGACCAAACCTATAACAACTGAATTAGTACTAACGCCTGGTGAGCAGTCGTCCCTGTAATCAACCCGCTATACTGACGTCACTAAGAGTGAACATTACAATGAAACATTTTCACTGCACTTTCTTATTTGAACGCTGTAATATCCCAAGAGGATTCTTGTTTCAATTTCGAAGGACATCAGGTGGCATCACGAGGTACCGGCTAACAATAAGAGGAGCTTATAACAATTTACCTGCAATTTACCTTTTATGTAGGCTCAAAGGAATCGGACAACCAAACAGAGTGAAAATACATATTGTATACGGAAAGGAAACCTGACTTTTCTCCGCCCTAACTGATGCACGCGAGGAGCGAATTGCGAAAAATTTATAACACTGCTCAACCTACACAAAAAAACGAAGAAGTTTAGCTTGTACCAAGCAGTATTGTCTCCTACGCTGACTTCCTTTTGGCTCGTTACGCAACCCTCTCCAACTAGATTACAAGTAGTCTCTTCCTCAGGGATAGTAGAGCGAGCGAATTACGCGAGCGCGCGTGAAATTTGTCAACCCTCGAGGAAGGTGACAAACGCTCCTGTATTCTATTCGTAGTATATCCTCAGTATAGTATATTACGCATAGAATCAGCCTTTTTCACTGTGGAATCTTCGCTGGAATACATAAACGCTGATGACGTCATAACCTTTTGTCTTTATCTCATGAATAAAATTCGGTTGAATCTCTTAAAAGGCTTAAAAATAGCACACGACCGTATCTTACAGCCAGTTTACATCGAGGTGGAGGACCCTAGGTATGTGAGGTAACCCGCTGCTGGTCACCTCAGCTATCATGTAAACGTGGCCAAATTAAAATGGGACATTATGTGGACAGGCGGTTGCCTCACCTACCTAGGGTCCTCCACCTCGATGTAAACTGGCCCTAAGATAAGGTTGTGTGCTATTTTTAACCCTTTGGACAGGTTTTCCCGTTATTTCTTGGTAGATGAAGGTCTTGCTTTTTGATTGGTTGACGACTACATGTAAGAATTACGAAAAGTATTCATTGGTTGATTCAGGTTGTCGAAGGAATAAGCGCTGACTCGCCTGTGACGTAATTATGCAAGTTACATTTCATACCGCTTTCATTGTTCAATAAGTTGTTCAGGTTTACTACGCGCGCAAATCGTTAATTTTTCATGAGTACGAAGCCACACTAGCCATTTCTATCACGAAAAAACATTTTTCCACTTTCCCACATCCCTTTTTCCTTTTCCACATTGCATTGTTTCACATTGTTTCCTTCCACCAGGACAACCACGTTCCATTCTTTTCTCTCAGCGCGAGGTTATGGTGAACGTTGTGAAGAAAAGAAAACTTAACTTCGTAAATCTTCTAACGTGATTGGAAAGAATTGTGTGACGAACCAAACGGAGGGCTGCTTAGAAGGCTATCCTCTTTACTTTTATTCACACAGTAGTACTTGCTAGGCAGACTACGTAACTTTTTTCTTTATATGCCTCCCCACACAAAAACAGGAAAGTCTATATCTTTTTCTTTGTTTGTTAGTTAAAATGTTAAATAAAATAACGAACAATTTACAAGTGCATTAATTAGCTGGCTCAAAATTCTCCCAAAATATCACTATTTTAAGAAAACTTTGTTATTGTCCTCCACCTTATTCCGTCTTAGGTTCCTAAGGTTGCCAAGCACTGGAAGGAAGTTAAAGAAAGCGGTGTTCTCTCCATGGAACTGGTTGATCTTGTGTTTTCCAACTTTCTCCTGAAGGGTGTTGCCAGGAAAGACATTCTTGATTTGATGGAACGATTTGGATTGATTGCAAAATTTTCATCTTCAAAGACAGGTGAAAAGTATTTTGTTCCATCTCAACTCAAAGCTTCGCCTGATTCCCTTTGTTCCATGAAGCCCTCAAGGCTGGACCCTTGTCCCCTGTTTGTTTACTTTGTCAGCGGTTCTGTTCCCCATGGTCTGTTCACTCGGGTTGTTTCTCGATCCGTCCGTTGGTGTTCAGAGGCTGGTCCAACTCAGCCCCCTACCCTGTTCCAGAATGGAGCGTGGTTTGTTATTGGGAAGCAAACTTTCCATGATTTTGTTCTTATTTGTAAGAAGCAGTTTATTAAGTTTTTTATCAAGCGAAGAAACCAACCCCAGCAGATCTCAGTAGATGACACAAGTGAGGTGGCGGTGCAGGTTCGTGAGTTTGTGGAGGCAACTTTGCAAGTTTTGTCACGTGATCTCTATAAAGGTGGATTGCAGTATCATATTCGGGTCGCCTGTCCGTATTGTCAGTGGGAAAAATGCTCAAGCCATAATCAGATTGCATGTCCTCATGAAGATTGTCTTCACCTCCTTGAGTTACGACAAGGCGATCCTCTGATTTGCAAAATGAAACCTGCAAAGGAGGTACTCACAGTTACGGGACAAGAACAGTGGTTCTCACAAATAGAAAGTAAGGTATGTAGTAGTGAAATGCAATCCCTAGCAGTGCTTTTAGCATAGTACATATCAATCGAATACACAGACTACTTAAAATTGTGTCTTTATAAAGAGTAACCACAATGACTGTAGCCATATATTTAAACTAAAGAGGCTTCAACAAAGTCCATGGATGTGCTTTGTTAAGGTTATAGTATGAGGTTTAACGTATGTCTTTATTTATCGTACCACGAGCTCCACTGGAGTGTAAGAGAAGGCTTTCTTGCTATCAACTTAGCAAACATTGGTACTTAAAATCAAGTAAGTTGATAAGGTCAATTGGCTACCATGTATTAATAATTGTTATTGGCGTGTAGGCATAGCAGTTGGTATATAACGTTTTCTCAAGCTCTTTGTAAATGTGCTGTTTTGCTTTGCTGTTGAGCAATAAGTTTGTAGCATCTACCGTGTTGATAAAATGTTTTGCAAACTTTCATTAAAAAAGGTAGAAGCCCTCAGATATAAAATTTTTATTTTAAAGTATCCAATTTTGGTTGCAGGAAGTGTGTACTCCATCATCATCACCTGATACCGCTCAAGCTTGTCCAGAGCGTCTGGTACTGAAAGTTACCCTTCTCGCGAATGAGTGGGGGTCGTCCAAGGGTGGCTTGTCAACAATAAACAGAACTCTTGCCATACATTTGGCAAAAGACCCACACGTAGAAGTCACCATTCTTGTACCTGAATTTGAGTGTGGCGAAGAGCATAAGAGAGCTGCCAAAAGTCACAACATTTCCATCCGGGAAGCAGGGCGCCTTCCTGCCTACAGTGATCCTCTTGACTGGTTGATCGTTCCCCCAGAAGACCTTGACATTCAGGTTGTGATCGGCCATGGAGCAAAGCTAGGTAGACAAGCACAGATCATAAGAAAGTCTCATTGCTGTAAGTGGGTGCAGGTTGTTCACACCGAGCCTGAGGAGCTTGCGATGCATAAGAACTATCCAAGCGCCATTGCCAAGGGAGAAGGGAAGAACAGAGCTGAAGTTGACCTTTGTCAAATTGCAGATCTCGTTGTAGCCGTTGGACCCAAGTTGAAACACGCGATCTCGTCGCAGTTACGTTCATCTCGTCGAGAAATCTTTGAATTAATACCGGGTTCCTTTACAGAGTTTTCAGATGTTGAGCATTCTGAAGAAGAGAATGTAAATTTCAAAGTGTTAACCTTCGGTCGCGGTGATTTTGAAGACTTTAGTCTTAAAGGATACGACATTGCCGCTCAATCCATAGTTGAATTGAAGGACATTTCCTATAGTCTTGTTTTCGTTGGTGCATCCGATGGAAGGCAGGATGAAGTCGCAGAAATCTTACTCCAGAGTGGCATTTCAAAGAACCAGCTGATTGTGAGAGCATTTGTGAAAGACAAACAAAGATTGGGAGAATTGTTTTGTGAAGTCGACCTGGTCATCATGCCATCAAGAACTGAGGGGTTTGGTTTGACAGCATTGGAGGCCATGTCAGCTGGGCTTCCCATTCTAGTTAGTGGAAACTCCGGATTTGGAAAAGCACTGCGTGGTCTTCCAAACGGTGAGTCATTCGTGATCGAGTCTGATGACCCCAAGGAATGGGCAAAGGCAATTGCAGCCATCCGTCAAAAATCGAGGACACAGCGGCTTGAGGAAATCCAAAGACTGCGAAGAAGTTATGATGAAAGATTTTGTTGGGAGAGACAGTGCCAGGCCCTTGTCGCCAGAATGTGGATGATGGTCTATGGTAAGAAGTTAACTTAGCCTAAAGGAGAGTAATGATGATAGTAACTATTATTCATTCAAAATATTTTCCGTTTTTGATTGGCTAAAAGCGCATGCATAATTCATCATAAACAGCTACTGTTGAGCAAATTTGTCATTTTGAACAAATGACGTCAAAAGTGCAGCCAAAGTTGCAGATTACTGAACCGTTAACCGAGAATACCTGGGGACGAGGTTGAGTTGTTTTGGTGGTGAGAAAATGACTGAAACAGTCGGCGAAACATTGTCAAAATCATAGCAAGAAGAGAAAGAAGAAGAGAACTCGACGGATAACATCCGCTATTTGGAGTATATTTACAGAGCAGAACAGACTTTTATCTCCTTAATTTCTCGATAAAGATGCACTATCGATATAAACTAAACTCGACCGAGAAAAGAAAGTTTCAGCTTGTTTTTAGACTTGGAATTATTTTCGGAGGGTGTTATCCACCTCGGCCTTCGTCCTCGGTGGATAACACCCTCCTCGATCTACAGAATTCTTCATATCCTACGAAAGCCGAATTCAATAATTGCTAATTATTACTTCAAACACGGTGAAAATGTCAAGTGCGTATCTCATATCAGGATTAGCCTTTGTTTTGCCTTTATGATTCATCCCCGTATTTTATTTGCTTCAGCAAGAGCAAGTGCGTGAGCAAATTTAATAGTATTATGTTAGGCGGTGAATGTGAACAGCTGCAGAAAGATTGCCAACGTTAACCTTTTAAACCTCAATAACAGCATTCATATTCTCTACACTGTTATCCATACATATCTTGTGGTACTGATAAGGAGAATTTGTTTAACACAAAATAAATGGAGGACTTCTCAGATTGGAATCGTTATTTTTTTTCTGTAATTCAAGGTTTTTTTTCTTAAATTTTACAGGTGTTGAAAAGACCAAAGAAGATACCGTTCCACAGAATGACTTTGAAAACGATGCGGCAAAAGGATCGATAACTGGTGATGTGGTTGTTTGATTTCTCAAATAAACCAGAACCAAAATTTATTTTTGTAGTAGAGTGGGGTTATCTTGTTCTCTTGAAACCAGGACAAATTTTTATTTTCGGCTGTTTGTACCTAAAGACCAGTTCATCATGTCCTATTAAACTGACGTGAAATAACCTCATTCTTATTTTAATAATTTCCCTCTGCCGTTTACAGGCGAAGCAATTTTCCTTGCACTTCAACAAATCCTGCTGGAAGCACGCACAGAGTCCAGCAAAACTGAGCTGTCGCAGGCTTTAAAGAGGACTGCGTTAGAGAAAGGTTTTGCGATATCTGACAATCAAGGAGAGGGAAACTGCATGTTTTTTGCACTTTCAGAGCAGCTTGACCTCATCAAAGGAATTCAGATATCCCATGATGAGTTACGCCGAACTATTGTGCAACATCTTCGGGAAAACCCCAGTCTGGTAAGTACCTTTGGTTATTGTTTTTTCTACGGTGGATTTATTTGCAATATATGCGAAAGCCGTCGCATTTTCCCGCTCAAATCTTTTTATTGCTTTTAAGCTTAAAAGCAATAAGGTCTTGTTCTAACGTATCCGAAATACGTGTCCACACGTAGCGTATTTGAATTTTTTGCGCCTGTCACATAAATACGCTGAAATGATTGACATACGATGAAATCCCTTACAGAGCAAACTCAGTGATACTAGCATATAATGCATGACATCATTGTATTAGAAAACCTCTGTTTTCTTCCGTCCACACGTAAACGAGAATTCGGCGTTTTCAAAAGTCCACTCTGGAGACCGCTTTCTGGGGACCTGTTTTTTTGGTGCCCGAAAAGGCCGTTTTCTCGTGGACGGAAGGCTAAAAATACCCCGATACGTGTGGACGGGGCCTTAAATTCTTGCAGCCAAATGCTAGGGCTTTACAGGTATGATGCAAATGAATCCACCCTTTATGAGCAAAACATCAGCTCTGCACGAGCATCACGCTTATTTGTATTTTTCTTCGTCTTCCACTGCACGACTTGCAGTCTCCTAATGCGACGTTTTGTGGAGGGCCTCGAAAGCATGGCGACGAAATATTGTTATTGGATCCGGATGCTACCCTTAGAATTCAAATCCAGGAAATTTCTTCTACTTTTTTTAATTTGAAAAACGTTACATAAGCGCCATAAAGGTTTAAAATAAAGCAAGTTCATTTCCTTTAATCACGTTTTTGACTCGGAGGCGTAAATGAAAACAGATTTTAGGAAATCTGTTTCTGTCGCCTCGATCGTCTGACTCATGTCCTAATTTTTTATAAGTACTATGTTATTTTGGTAAGTATGAAATGTTCACCAAAAGCCGCTTTGTTCGAACGGCACATGTCTACTTAGTGAAATGAAGTGAATACTTTATTTAAAGAGGGTAAGACTCGACAAGTATAGTATGAACGGATAAACTTGAGATCGTCAATACTTGTTATATTTGTAGGGTCATTTCTGACCCAACATACTGGTCGAAATTTCCAAACTTTTATTTTTTCATAGTAAACACCTCTTCCCCCCTCTTTTACACGTGTAACGGACACCTCCCTAAAACCTCCTAAAGTACTTTCCTAAACGTGTTGGTCCCTGCCGTTCTTAATTGTTTTTCTTGGAAAGAAAGAGAGTAAGGAGAGTAGTATGGGATGCAAACGTTAGACCTCGTTTTTGAAGTGAAATCTCATTAGTATGAAGTGGAGCAAATAAATGTCAATGGCATCCTTATCTCTTGAATAAAATGCGGTAGAATCTCATCAACATAACGTCACGAGCTATACGAGGGATGTAGTGTGCAGGGATCATGTTATGAGTACGAGAAAATACGTCTGTAAGCTTCAACTTCAAGAGCTTTATTACGCGGGATGACGTAGTCAGCCAGCGTCTAAAATCCGGTAGCACATTCCTTTCGTCGTCTTGGGAGTCAAAAATTGCCTTGTTTTTTTAACTTTCCCGTATCCCGTGCCCGTCCCGAAAAATTGTGTGGATTTTTATTGGCCGCAACGTCGAAGCACGTGCAAGTCAGGCTGGATTGCACAAGCCGAAAAAAGATACTGCGTCAGCAAAGGAGGGAAAAGTAAGGTCACCGTGTAGAGGAGGACGAAGACTCAAGGCCGTGCTCTTAATACGGCGCAAGACTTGGCCTCGGGCGGCTGAAAATATTGTCTAGGTGGCCCAGCCGGGCGACTTGCTGGTGTTGGTTTCTTGTCTCTGTTGAGTTACAGTCAAAAAGCTAAGAATGTCTAGAATTTATTGACTTGCGAAATCGTAGCTCTCTCGGTGGCTTAACGGCCTAAAAAGAACGCTCCGCTCGCTAAGAAACTCTTGAGGTCGACTTGTAAGTAGCAATAAGTAGCATGTCTATCAAAAAGCTTTAGGAAAATGTTGTTAAATCGGGCAGCGGGCACGCGTTGATGTTCAAAGGTTGTTTCACGTGAATTCACATGTAACATAATCCTTGACTATGAACGTGACAAGCTGCACAGTTTTCGATAGTAACAGCTTTTCATAATAACATTGAAATTTTTTCTTCAAATTACGATTGTGCATTAGTTAGTTTTTCAAAACAAATTGTTACTTTTGCTCTGACAGGCGTGAAGTACGGTCGGCGACGCAAAACAATATTTTTGTATTTTGAAAAATCGCTGAATAAACAACGGGTCGGTCTTTTATGTTCTTTAAATATTTTTACCTTTTTTTACTGCTGTGTCTGCGAGGCTAAAACATAACTAAGATTGTTATTCCAGTAAAATACGATGCATAAAAAAGAAAAGAAACGACTATAGTAATTGTGATTGTTCTAGAATCGGGTATCATATTTACGGTTAGGAAACGTATCAGGATATTTGTACTGTAGGTGAAAAGTAAAGTGTTCTTCATTCAATTTATTAAAAAAATGGGTCAATTCATTTTTTGATGACCTATTTAAAGGATTGATAAATTAGATACGTAAATGGAAAGTGACTAAGTTGGGATCGCAAAAATTACATATTTGCCCAAGAGTGACTAATGTGGGGTCTACAATTGGCCACAGCAAAGACTATAATGGGGTAGGGGCTCTGAGAGGCCAGCGGCACATACCCAGCAAAATTAACGCAAGTAACCCCCCGGGGGGCGCCGCGGTTTCGTTGAAATCATAACAGTTTTCCTGGAAAGCTCCACGGGATCTCAGTCAATCTTAATAAGCGAATTTTCTTTTCAACCTAAATCAAAATGATTAGTAAAAAGAATAGTGCCCTTATTTTTGACCCCTAATTTACTTTGCCATTTACAAAACATGAAATGTTCGGCGGCATTGTCCATGTTTCTCATATGGCGCGAAAACTTACTTTCATATGACAACGTGCCGGGTTTTTTTTTTCGCACGCTCAGGAGGTCAAAGGGATGTGATTTTTCATGAAAAAAATATTCACAGACTTCTGCTTGACTTGTTAAGAAAATAATTTGTTTAATTTTTAATAATTAACTAACAGCTCATTGATTTATTAATTTGGGCGACCAACTTTGAGGCCCGGGCACCCCAGCTAAAAATGCTTCGGGCGCCCAAAGGGCTCCCTGAAGTTTTCCCTAGAACACTTCCTTGAAGCCCTGTAGTTATTGGAAGTATGATACATTACATGCTATTGTTAAATGTGGAAGCGCATTTTTTGAGGACATTAGTAAAGGAATGCAAATTTTAGTGAACTACCCCATACTACTAAGATATATGGTGGTAATATTGATGTAAGTTTTGTTTTGAGTAGCAACGGAACCCTTGTGTGTAACTCATCTTCTAGTGTATTAGTCCTGAACATAACATCTCCGTCTCTCCTGCACACATTTGTTGCATACACTGCACAACTTTCCATTGCCATCCAACATACCCGTAATTCTTTCTTAAACCCACACATCCCGCGTAAACGCCTTCGGGCGTCTTCTTGTTGCAGTAGTTTTACACTTCATGTGATCCTCGAGATCACGTGACAATCACAGGACAACCAACTTATCATAACATCCCCCTTCTTAAGCTATTTGGCTGTCTTAAAGAGTTTATGCTAGTACAAGTGAAAACGGGAACAAGAAGTTAACAACTCAAGTATAGATGGATCTACAATACAACTATGTTACATAACATAATCCTTATGCCAAACCGGAACGGATCTAACCCGAGTAGAGCGACGCGGAGCCGAGGCGGCATTAACATCGGGTGGGTCTGGTTCCAGGTTAGCACCTGATTCTCTAGTTACACTTGGAGAGTTTACACTGGATTGCATGGTTACAGGCTGTGACTCATCAATGAGATCATCATTTACTATAGTAACAGGTGGTTCCTGAGTAAGATGAATATGACGCCTATTTCTACGATACTCTCTACCTGTTTCATCAGTGATTATAAACGATCTGGGTGTCTCATGTTTTCCTGTAACTACAGCCTGTGACAAATGCTTGTCACTTGGTTTCTTGAACCTTACACTTTCCCCTTCCTTGAGTTGAGGCAATTGTTTGGAGCCTCGGAGGTCATAGAATTCTTTGTATTTAGCTTGTCGTTTTTCTAGTAATTCTGGAATATCATGACAGATCTGTGGTACTAAGACTAAGGGATGAACAGGAACTCTTGTTCGGATTTGCCTACTGAATAACATTTGGTTAGGCGAATAAGGAAAATTGCTTATTGGCGTGTTACGGTACTCCATTAGACCTTCATTCAAACTGCAGTCCTTTCTCAGTAAATTTTTAACAATGTGAACGGCTTTTTCTGCAAGACCGTTTGCCTGACTATATGTGGGACTGGTTGTTACAATGTTAATGCCACATTGCTTAGCATAATCCTTCATTTCTCTGGAGTTGTAGGGCATGTTATCTGCAATTAGAGTTTGTGGATAACCATGCCTTGAGAAAATTTCACTCAGACACCGGATAATATCGCTGCTGGTTTTGCCATTGAGCCTAATGGCCTCAATATATTTTGAATAATAATCAATAACCACAAGGTAGTTTTGCTTTTTGTGTTGTAACACATCTGATGCAACGATTTGCCATGGCAATATTGGAATTTCTCGAGTTTGCATGGGTTCTTTGGTCTGCTTACTTTGATATTTCAAACATTTTTCACAACAAGATATCATGTCTTCAATATGCTTATTCATGCCAGGCCAAAATACCGTCGTCCGCGCATTAGCTTTGGTTTTCTCAATGCCGCAGTGGCTGATATGCAATTTCTGAAGTATATCTGTTCTCCATGTATATGGAATGACAAGCCTGTTGTCCTTGAGAAGAATTCCATCTGTGACATGAATGTCATTCCTGACTTTCCAGAAAGGCTGAAGAGAAGGAGGTACATCACGTTTGTGTTGGGGCCAACCTTCCATAGCATACCTGTGTAACATTTGCGTAGTAGGATCATTGCAATTAAGTTCTCTTAATTCCATTAACTTCACATCCGAAATTGGGGGATCGATAATTACACTATGAATGAAATGCTCCATGTCATGATGCATATCATCATCAGTAGGAACATTGGACTGATCAAATGCTCTTGAAAGGGTATCTGCAATATAAAGAAACTTTCCTGGAACATATCTCACTTTAAGATTGTACTTTTGCAAACGAAGTCTCATTCTTTGCAAGCGAGGGGGTACCTTGAAAAGAGGCTTTTTGAAAATACTTTCTAGGGGCTTATGATCAGAGAGGACTTCAATTTCTGCCCCATATGTATACATGTTAAATCTCTCACACCCATAAACGACTGCCAAGAGCTCTTTCTCAATTTGGGCGTAATTGATTTCAGAACTTGACGTAGCACGCGAGGCATATGCTACTGGTTGATTCTGTTGTAGCAAACATGCTCCCAAGCCGTTTTTACTGGCATCAACTTGGAGTGTAGTAGGTAAACTTGTGTCATAAAA